AGCAGCACTAACGTGATGGAAATCAAGACACTACCATACTGTCAATGACAGGGCAACCAACAAGCAGAAAAGAGAGTGGGCAGAAGCAAGGAAGCAACATGACAGGACCAGCAGATGTTCTACATTTCTCTGGCACAAATTGCGACAGTAGCAGGCCTCAAACCACCTTAGAGGGCAAAGCAGATGAAGACAGAGTCCCGTCCACAGTCCAACTAGCAATATGACTATAAAAACGAAGTAAAGGAAGAGCAGTATATGGGCACAGAAAAAACTACTCGAACCACACATTTTTCTGGGAGTTATCATGATACTGGCTAAATTAGATGGAATCGTGGAAGCCTAAAGGTCCATGCATCCTCCTTTTCACACAGGAGGATATGGGACAAGAAACAGCAAAGACAAGATCCAACTGCGTAAATCCCATAAAATGCAATACATATGCTGGACTTGATTTCAATTGAGTGAGAATCCTAGACTTACAACCTCTCCACTACTGCAAACATCTAAGACAAACTAGAAGACAAAATAAGTGGTTATCCCACAAACTGAGGTCTTCAAGAAACAATTCATAACATTGCTGTCTAGATACATGGGTTGACTGCTATGACTTATACACCCAGAAAAATTAATGATGTGCGAAAAGTATAATGTCAGTTCACCCAAAAAAAAAAAAAAAACTAGTCTCCCAATATATATAGCGATGAAATGATAGACCGCATAGTGAAAAGAAGATAGCAAAAAATTAATACGAATGAGCGCAAAAAATTTAACGAATGATGTGATGATTGAATGCGAGAAGCAATATGACCGACTACAGAAGCATGGCCAAAGTCCAATAAACTCCCTGACAGCTAGCATGTAATGCCAGTAATATTGATCGAAAACTTTATGCGTTGTTAGCGAACAAACATAAAAGATGCAACAGCTAGGTTATATACGATGACCAGACGCGAAGTTGCGTGACATGCATGGAAAAGAATCGACACAGTAGAACTGAATTATAAAATATGAACCAATGGTGAAACTTAAATGTATCCACAGGTAACGGTTCGATTTGAAAAATTGAAACTTAGCCCATTCAGAATAACCGAAGATATTCCTCTCCACCACATAATCACAAGCATCGATAATAAATGAATATCGGGAATCAACAGGGAAGATGATTATAAATAACCTCAAAATGTTCCAAGCTGGCATATGCTCCACCGGCAAGTTTCTTCCGCACAGTTCCGAAATCCATTGGATGCTCTATGACTTCATGGTAGTCAGGGAGCTGAGCAGCAGAACCAAAAAATGCAACAAATAAGGAAAACTGATTTTTTACCAAAAGCCTTAGAATTTAATGTATCATCACTTCCACAACTTACTTCCTTGGGGTCCACTGGTTCAGAAAACACACCATAAGTGTCCTTCCTGAAATTGTATTGATATACCAACTTAGCATATTGACTATCAAAAGCCACATAAAAGGCAACCAACACAAAACCTGAAAAGCTTAAAAACGCACTTTTGAAGCCTGTCGAGTATAAAGACCAGAAGCTTTTTATCAGGCAAAGGAGTTGAAGGTCCCGAATCCATCTGAGTCCCTGCGCACAACGCATGACACCAAAATTCAGCAAAGCAGTAGCGCATTTCTGCGTCAGGAGCTCGAAAAGTTTGAGATTTGATACGCACCTTGATGGCTAGCCGTGGATTTCGACCCAGAAAGAGGTTTCTCTCCCTGCACAATGTCGATAAACATGACTTACCGATTACCAAAAATGAAGGCTGGTAAATGCATTTTCCATAATGAGTACAGAACCATCAGAAATGGCCGTGGAAAGGCAAAGTGGGACGGAGTTCTAAAGTGCCCAAAAAGGGAAAACACAGTTGCGCAAACTGTGAATAATAATTGAAGAAAGGACAAATCGGGACTTTTTGCTAATGTCTGCCAAAATCATCATAACCTTCGAATATCAAGGATGATTCAATCGCAAGAACAATCAAAAGGATTTCTTGAAGAGAGATTAAAAAGGCAACTATCACATGTTGTTCAATTCAATTGAAGAAGTCTCGTGAGGAGGAGGGGGAAAAAGTCAGCCCTCGCTTACTAAAAACTGCCTATAAAGAACCCAGCAACAAAGCAGTACACACAGTTCAAAGGCCCGACTTTCAAGGACAAAAAATTTCAAATCAGGTCAACTTATATTCCTCCATTGGAACCCAAAAGACGACAAATTCGCTCCCTCAGAAAACAGGACAAAGTTAAAAACAGCGCTTTTTAATTCATGTGCTCTCAATTCAAAACCCACGAAACCAAAACCCCCCAAAATTCAGTCCGCTCGCCGGCGGCAGAGGAGGAAAAATTCACTACCTTTTCGCCGTCGGCAGCCCCGGACACGTCCCCGATCTCCCTGATCTTGCGCTTCCTCTTATTACCCCCCGGACCCCCACCCCCCTCCTCCTCCTCCGCGCTCGACTCCGCCGGCCCCGCCGCCCCCGCGCCCGTCGGCGACCCCTCCTGGCCAGCGGCGGGCAGCTTGAGGACGAGCTTGAGCTTCTTCTCGCGGCGCTTCCCGGGCAATTCCCCGCCGCCGCCGCCGCCCTCCTCCTCCCCCTCCCCGCCCTCCTCCTCGTCGGTCCCGCCGGGGGAGGAGCCGTCCGGGATAGGGTTCCGGCGTGTAGATCGGCGGGGAGCGGCCGCGGGATCGCGGCCGCGGGGCGGGCCCGGGGCCGAAATGTCCCGCTTCTGCCTCTGGGTCGCCTCCTGCTGCTGCTGGTGGCGGTGGTGGTGGTGGTGGTGGTGGTGCTCCTCCTGCTGCAGCTTGAGGTTGCGCTTCTGGAGATCCAGCAGCGACGGCCTCCCCTTCTTCTTCCTCTTCTTCTTCTCCACTATCTTCCCCATCTCTCTCTCTCTCTCTCTCTCTCTCCTCTCCTTTCCTTTCCTTTCTCTCTCCTCTCTCTATTGTGTTGTTGTGCGTCGACAGACGAACGGGGGCGTTAACCTTATTTTTTTTTGGGTTTTTTGTTTTTGTTTTTATTTTATTTATTATATTTATGTTTCGCATTTAATTGTGGAGAAATAATGTGTTTGTTTTATTCGGTTACGGTTTTTCTGGTGACTTTGAGGTGGTGGAGCGAGGGGGCACGCGCCTCGGCACGTGACCCTCGCGCCCCCTTGGTCCCCCGCGGCCGCACACGTGGCGGCGTGGGGCCCCGCCCGGGCCAAAAGCAAAACCGGGCCAAGAGCCGAACGGGGCTCCTTCTTCTCTTTCGCCTTTCGACGGTTCGGCCGGCGAGTCGCTCCGACGACGTTTCGTATCGCGCTTTAAAAGTGGAATTTAATCCCTCCAGGAGTCCCCCTAATAAATAAAAAGAGAGAGAGAAATAAAAACCCGATCCCGTCTAATTAATCGTACTTCGTAATCTTATAATAATGATAATTAGGGAGAGTTAAATCTTGATCTAATATGCAATATCGTCCGCGAACTTTTAATCTGCTCGATGTGGTCGCTGAACTTCAGCCCGATGTGCAATGTCATCCCGGAACTTTTAATCTATTCGATACGGTTCTTGAACTTTTCATAAATGTTTAATCTAATCCATACATATCTTATGTTATCCATTGAGCACTTTTACACATTAAATATGTAATAAAAGTTCCGGGACCATATTGATTAAATTAAAATTTAATGAGCTATATTGTAAATTGACTCGAAATTCGAGGATCATATTAAACAAATTAAAAATTCGGGAATTATTGGTGTCATTTTTCCTGATAATTAACCTATCACGTATTTTTTCGTAAAATGAAATTTTGACCAAAGCAGGTGGGGGTTAGGCAGGTCCGTTGACTGGGATTTTTTCTCGTTGATTCCATTACTTCTTGACCCAACAAAAAGGGACACCTAGGTGATCTCGTTTTACTAAGGGATATGGCGATGATTAGAAGGGTCCAGAAATTCCAAATGACTGCGGAAAGGGCCCGAGCTTGTCACGAACTCATTGGATGTCCATTTTGCATCCTAACGATGGTAGGTGGGATCGACACGCAGCTCGGCAGGGACAACCTTCAGTTCGAGGGTACACTTGTGCCGTGTTCGTGAAAGGGGCAGCGTTGACTGTCCAAAGGCTCGTTATACGGTGTACCTTCTCTTCTTCGCGTTACGTCATAAAAGAGTCCCAATCATTGGTGTTTCGAAAATTTTGAATATTTAAAATTTGATTCATAACCGCTTAAATTACTCGAAATAACTAATAATTATTGATAATAATTCATATTTAAATATTTTCGCGAATAACCGTAAATCGTTGATTTTTATAACATCTTTTTTTCCTTTTTTGTTTTGCGAGAGAACATGTGAAAATCCCTTTTGGTCATAGCTCTGTGGCAATTCGCTTCGATGCCAATAGACCTTCGAGCGAGCGATGACTCGATGATAGAGGCAAGCATACGAAGCATGGTAGGCTCAGAAAGTCGACCTTCATGTCGCGAAAAGGAAGTTCTTTGTGCTTGAACCACGGTGGAGTTGCGATTATGGGCTCGCGCCATTCATAATCCCCGTAAGTAAGAGATTTTTACTCGATGGTAATGACTTACAACATGCTATTAAGAGGAATTAAAAAGGAAGAGGGTTCTAAATTAAAATCATGATCAAATGGAGGGAAAGGGATGGAGATATTAGGAGGAAGGTTTGGTTAATCATGCGTGTGTGTATATATATATATATATCTCAAATTATTTCAATTTGATCTAAATATAACGCGATTCGGAGAACTTTGTGTATTAATAAATAAATTTACTCTTGGCTCTCATTTATATCTTTTTTCCATCTTTAAATAAATCGATATTTATGTCACTGATAACATCATAACTCAAATCTTTCAAATCTGTTCTTTCTTTCTCCCTCATAATTATATCTCCTTTTTTCCTTCATTGGTGTTTACTCTATCCGTTCAAATTCAGCGTTAAAACGATCCTGAAAAAAGGTACCTTTGCAAAAGAGGGCCGTCTTTGTAACTAACGATTAACATGATCGCGTGAGGTCTCAGCAGTCAGCGCACAGCAGAAACAGAAGCCAACTCCAACAACAACTCGAACTCAGCAGGATCAGAAGCAAAAGGGCAGAGTTTTGAAGTTCAACTTCACGACTTCTTGACGCTCGGAAGAGCGACGTCAAAGACCCATGTGCATCGCCGTGTTCCTCTGGCAGGCTCACCCTCTCTACCCATTCTTCCTCCTGCACAACCGAGACGAGTACCACGGTCGGTGAGTCTTTAACATCAGTCATCGCGAATCATTTCTCAATCTGGGTTCGGGAGAATTCCGCAAATCACGAAGAAAGTTTGTATCTTTTCTTGTTTCTGAAAGACCGACGGAACCAGTGGCTTGGTGGGACAATGGCGAAATCCTCGGAGGGAGAGATGGTCTGGCCGGTGGGACGTGGCTGGCTTGTTCGAGGAACGGCAGGATCGCTTTCGTCACCAACGTCAGAGAAGTCGCCAAAGGCCCCCAGCCCAGGAGCAGAGGAGACTTGCCTGTTCGTTTCTTGGAGGTGAGGAGTTTCTGACTCACTTTGCTTCTTTTTGTTTAATCTCGTGATGGGTCGATGTGAAAATCGGAGCTTTGTGTAGTTAATCGGTACGAGAGTTGCTTAGAATTCAGCTGATTCTACTAGATTTTGTGCTCCTGTTGTGATGGGATTGATCATCGGTGCCCTTTGTGATGCTCCTTATTGCGCGGTTGCAAGGTATGAGACTTGGCATCTTTAGTCCATAAACCAGTCCAGAGTGTTGACTCGAACTTGAATAAGCCTCATTTCCAATTTACTAATTCCGGTTGGATATGTCTTGTAAGTACTTAGATTAAGAACAGCATGCAAAACTTTTTATGTCAAGAAGAGAATACAGAAATTCCTGTTTGTATTGTCACCATTCAGCAGAATTTTCGTTCGGATGGATGTAGATTGCGGATGGTGGCGTAAGATGTGCTTGTTTATGATTGAACGATGTACTTATATTATTGTACTTATACTATATTTACGCTTACTTCCACCTTGAACATGAGCATGTCTTGTGATTGACATGGTATAATCCATTTGGTAATCTATTATCTCTGTGTTGTTGATCTCAAGTTGCATCGTTTTCATTAGATCAAATGTTATGTTGGATGATATCTTCAATGTCATATCACTCCATCCATTCTTAAGTGAATTGTCTCATCTATTGAAGATCGCGTCACCATCCTTATTTCACCTTACCTTTTTCAGAGCAAGATGAATCCCACCGAGTTTGCAGAAGAGGTTGTTATGGAGGCACATCAATATCGCGGATTTAACCTGATACTAGTGGATCTATGTTCCAAATCCATGATCTATGTGACCAATAGACCAAAAGATGACAAGGCTCTTGTTTCAGAGGTTCCTCCTGGGATCCACGTGCTATCAAATGCAAGTCTAGACACACCTTGGCCTAAGGTAAGAAGGTATCTTGCTCTGGTTGATTTTGTGTTGTCCTTGGTTTGTCTTTTCTATGTTGAAGTGGATTACAAGTTCAAGTTGGAAACTCAAGGCAGATAAAACCATTGCAAAAATGGCCAGTTGAATTGTTTGCCATGCATATTAGATTACAATCTCTACTGCGAGAATTCTAGACCTCGATTAGTTGATGGACTGCCTAATTAGCATTCCTCAACTACAAATTTTTTGAGCCCTTTACCTTATCAATTATTGATATACAAGCAGCATATAAATCTTCGTATTCTGGAAATGCATGCCTCCAGATCTATGACATTCCCATGGCAAATGAACTTTAAAAATGTCATCAATTGAGCATATCCATACACAGATGTACGTAAAGATGAACCACCCATATTTCTCCAGATTGGGAGGCTTTATTTGGATCCTCATATGAGTCGTGACTCTGCCTATTCGTGTTCTGTACTTTTTTGGAGGCTTTGGTACTGAACTTATTCAATTGTCATTGCTTCTCTCTGCAGTTTAGCAGTTTAGTAATATATTCTGATCAGGTCTTTTTGTTACTCAGGCTGTGCTATTGAGGAGTAATTTCGAAAAGTTTTTGGAAAAATATGGCACTGGTGAACTTCCAGCGGAAGATTTGGCAGATAAACTGATGACAGACATGACGAAGGCCGATAAAAGAACGCTTCCCGGCATTTATTCTGTAGAATTTGAGTATATGCTCAGTTCAATTTTTGTTGAGGCAAACACCGAGCAGGTATGGTTTTACGTTCCTCCTAATTTTATTTTGTGGTATGCAAGCACACTGTAAAACGTTTTGACAGAGTTTATTTACAAAGTGACGTGTGCAATCTAAATGTTTGACGGACGAGAACGTAGCAAGCGATATTCTTGCACGCACTTGGTGAACATGGAGGATGAGTAAGCTGATTGTAGTCAGTAATTGCACACCTAACAGAGTGGTTTACTTTTGTTCGACAACTAATAGGAGGTCATCGTGATTCGTGACACTTAACAGGAAACTCATGATAGTGCTTTCCAGATGATAATTATCCTTGTATCTGGACGATGAAAGGTCCACTGAGTGACCTTTTTGTGACATCACGAATTTCTCTCATGCTTAGGGACGTTATGGCACAAGAAGCATATCTGCTGTATCGGTGAAGACAAGCGGGGAAGTTGCCTTCTATGAAAAATACCTTGGGGAGGAAAGTTGGAAGGAGCACACAGTGAGTTACATGATGGAGCAGGTGGGTACCAGCTGAATGATTTCTTCCCTTCACTTTGCCGTGTCTGCAATTTTCGTAAGTCGTTTTCATTTTCAATACTCATGATGAAGCCTGATACACATAAGTTAGATTTAGCAACGATGCACGACAAGATGTAAGCCCCACAATAAGGGCAATGTTGTTCTAGGCGACTCGAACGAATGAAATTGGAGTACAATAAAAGACTGATCGAGCTTTTCAATCTTAAAGAGCAGCGAAAGTAGTTTTGGATATGGTCCATGAATCGGTGATCTCGGATCTGAACGTCGCACAATCTTCCCGCATCAAAAGCAGGATAAAAGTTCCTACTGAGAATGTGTCGTGGCAATGTCCATTCATACTTTATGAGATCTCTGCTGGCGTGGCTGGTGACTTACATTGTTGGAGGGATATTTTATGTATTAACCTCCAAACCTAAAACTATTGTAACGCGGTGTGCTGGATAAAATCAATAATAAGGCTACAAAATTTTTTCTTGAGGGGACTCCTGGGGGATATGTTTCAGAATTCAGAGCTTGACTATGTCAGTGAAAGGTTGAGCTCTCTGTAAATCATGTAGAGGTGAAGCCAGAGGCATTAGGTCACCGTGATCTGAAAATCTCAGTAATTTAAAATCGGACTCCATGCCAATATTAGAGCACTCAGTCGGGGCTCTCTTCAGAAGCATGACCATCTGTTATTAAGCGGGATATGCTGATTGTGCTTAAACACCACATGGGTAGAGCTTCATTTTGGTTTTTATGTGCTGCAAAAGAGCTCAACACAATAATGACAGTGCCAAACAGACCATGAAACATCATCTTCATGAAGCGACGCAAGGTTGTCGCTTAATGATGATGCTCAATTCCTCACCTGAAAATCTTCAAACAGCGGCGATCTTAGATCACTACTGATCAGTCATTGATCAAAAAATTAGTTTGATTAGATAGAGATTAAACTACCTCTCGAACGGCTTGTGTTGCTAAGGATTAGGAATGAACTGTGACAAAGTTTCTTTAGTCGTATGGTCACTCTGTTTGTCATTTACTTGGAGGCAGGTAACACGACAGATCATCAAATTTTGACCATTTTGTGTTTGTTATTAAGGAGAGTTACCAATCCTCCTCTTCATGGGGTTGGCCTTTTGGGCCAAAGCAAGGTTTCGGAAGGCCGTTGACTGGGATTTTTCTTGTTTTCACATATTTTTTTACCCCAACAATATCGTAACACGGTCTCTTGTATCCTTTTTTAGGTAATCATCTCATTTTTTCATTATTGATGCTCACTCTGTCCAAACTAAATGTTAAAAGGGGGCAACATTCTTAAAAAAAGGAACTTTGCAAATGAGCGCCGTCTTTGTAAGTAATGATTATGCCGCAGCGAACGAGAATTGCTACGCTCCGACGGCTTTTTCTCGAGATACAAAAATTCAGCAGCAGAAGCACAAAGCTCGAATTCACAGGATAAGAACAGTTTGACCAGTGGTGATTCTTATATGAATCGTTTTTCATACATAATCGCGCGAGTCCTCAGCAGAAACAGAAGCGAGAGGGCCAAGTTTTGAAGTTCAGCTTACGACTTCTTGACGCTCGCAAGAACGACGTGAAAGACCCATGTGTATCGCCGTGTTTCTCTGGCAAGCTCACCCCCTCTACCCATTCTTCCTCCTGCACAACCGAGACGAATACCGCAGTCGGTGAGTCTTTATATCAGTCGAGAGTCATTTCCCATTGTGGGTTCGGTAGAACTTCGCAAATCACGAAGAAAGTTTGTATCTTTTTGTTTCTGGAAGACCGACGGAACCAGTGGCATGGTGGGACAATGGCGAGATCCTTGGAGGGAGAGATGGTCTCGCCGGTGGGACGTGACTGGCTTGTTCGAGGAACGGCAAGATCGCTTTCGTCACCAACGTCAGAGAAGTCGGCAACGTCCCCGAGGCCAAGAGCAGAGGAGACTTGCCTGTTCGTTTCTTGGAGGTGAGGGGTTGCTGACTCACTTTGCTTCTTTTTGTTTAATTTCGTGATGGGTCGACGTCAAAATCGGAGCTTGTGTAGTAAATCGGTACGATAGTTGCTTAGAATTCAGCTGATTCTACTAGATTTTGTGATCCTCTGTGATGGGATTGATCATCGGTGCCCTTTGTAATGCTCCTAATTGCGCGGTTCCGAGGCATTAGACTTGGCATCTTTTGTCCAGGAACCAGTCCAGAGTAGTGATTTAAATTGAATAGGCCTCATTTCCAATGTTTGGTTCAGATTTGACATGTTTTGCGAGTACTTAGATTAGGAACAGCATGCAAAATTTTAATGTCGAGAAGAGACTACAGAAAGTCCTGTTTGTCACTATTTGGCGGTCGTTGATATGGATGTAGGTTGCGGCGGTGTAAGATTTGCTTTTTTATGATCGAATAATGTACTTCTGTACTTAATATTATTCTTCTTTTAGTCGGTTGTTTACAGAGTAATTACATCTCCGTAGATTCTGCATAGGAAGCAATGATATTGTACTGTCGTACTATGTTTATTGTTTATGCTTACTTCCACCTTGAAGTTGAGCCTGTTTTGTGGTTGACACAGTATCATCCATTTGGTATGTGATCACGTGATCTCTTTGTAAGAGGTGGTATCTAGTTTCTCTGTGCCGTTGTTCTTGAGTTGCAGAGTTTCCATCAGATCAGATGTTATGTTGGATGATATCTTCAATGTCATATCATTCCACCCATTCTTAAGTGAATCGTCTTTTCTATTGAAGATCACGTCACAATCCTGATTTCACCTTACCATTTTCAGAGCAAGAAGAATCCCACCGAGTTTGCAGAAGAGGTTGTGATGGAGGCACATCGATATAATGGATTTAACCTGATACTAGTAGATCTATCTTCCAAATCCATGGTTTATGTGTCCAATAGACCAAAAGATGACGAGGTTCTTGTCTCGGAGGTTCCTCCTGGGATCCATGTGCTATCAACTGCAAGTCTAGACACTCCTTGGCCTAAGGTAAGAAAATATCTTGCTCTGGTTGATTTTGCATTGTCCTTGATTTGTGTTTTCCATGTTCAAGTGGATTACAAGTTCAAGTTCGAAAGTCGAAGCAGATAAAACTGTTGCAAAAATGGCCAGTTTAATATATTTGCCAAGCCTGTTAGATTACGAGCTCTACCGAGAGCATTCTGGACTTTGATTGGTTGAGGGACTATCTAATTAGCATTCCTCAACTACAAAATTTTTTAGGCCTTTACCTTATTAATCATTGATATATAAGCAGCTTTAAAATCTTCATACTCAGGAAATGCATGCCTTCAGATCCATGACATCCCGTGGCAAATGAACTTTTAATATGTCATCAACTGTGTATATCAATTCACAGATGTACGTAAAGATGAATCACCCACAATTCTCCACATTGGGATGCTTTATTTGGATCCTCATATGAGTAGTGACTCTGCCGTTTCGTGTTCTGTACTTTTTTGGAGGCTTCAATGCTGAATTTATTCAATTGTCATTGCTTCTCTTTGCAGTTTAGCAGCCTAGTAATATATTCTGATCGGGTCTTTTGTTACTCAGGCTGTTCGATTGAGGAGTAATTTCGAAAAGATTTTGGAGAAATATGGCGGCGGTGAATTTCCAGCAGAAGAAATGGCCGAGGAACTGATGATGGACACGACTAAGGCTGATAAAACAACGCTTCCCGGCATTTATTCTGTAGAATTTGAGTATTTGCTCAGTTCGATCTTTGTTGAGGCAAACACCGAGCAGGTAAGATTATGCATTCCTCTTATAGAGACTTTTTTCTGCGGTATGCAAGCACATTGCACCACATTTTAACAGAGCGTATTTGTGAAACGACCTTCCTTTTTTGTGACGTTGCCTATTTTCTTTTCGTGGTTAGGGATGTTATAGCACGAGAAGCATATCTGCAGTATTGGTGACGACGAACGGGGAAGTCGCCTTTTACGAGAAGTACCTTGAGGAGGAAAGTTGGAAAGAGCACACATCGAGTTACATGATGGAGCAGACGGGTACCGGTTGAGTGATTTCTTCCCTTCGCTTTGCTCGTGTGCACTATTTTGGCAAGTCAGTTTTCGTCCTCCGTACTCTGTGACGAAGCCGATACAAAGGAGTTGATTCACAACTATGTGCAATAAGATGTAATCCCCACAACAAGGGCAATGTTGTTCCATATTGAAGAGCAGCAAACAAGTGATCTTGCGGTGGCTTTCTAAGAAGGGAACAATGGCGGTCTTTCGTAGACATGATAGCATGCCTCTTTTTCAGAGTAAGTAACGATTTATCTAACATGGGAATCAATCTCTTCAGCAAGATTAAAGCAATGTTTGAACGTTCTAGTTTAGCTTCATTCCCTTTCGGCTTGAGGCTGCTCTTCTTGCTTTCTTGGTTGATGAAAAATAGATTTGAGTGCCTGGAGACCTTCTTCCGTCTGCCCTTCGCCTAGCGGCCGTCTCAACTAGAACTTACGAGGGCAGTACCTTGTACTCAACAAGAAATCTTAGTGCATTTCCTGAACATATTTCAAATCTTAGTGCATTTCCTGAACATATTTCTTTCTTCTAGATCATCGCATCGAGTTGCTCTTTGATAGGGAGACCACCCATACACACATGGGTGACTTCGGATTTAGGCACGAAAGAGTTCCTGGCCTCGAAGAGTTCTTTCGGTGATCTCGGATCTGAACGTCAATCATCCCACATCAGAAGCAGGATGAAAAGTTTTTTTCTAAGAATGTGTCGTGTGGCAAATATCCGTTCATACTTTATGAGGTCTCTGCCGGTGTGGCTGGCATCGTCGGACATTTTGTGTACAAACCTCCAATCTCGTAATGCGACGTGCCGGAAATAATCAATGATGAGAAGAAAAAACCATTTCTATATACGGCGAGGCATTGGGCCGCCAAGGAATCTCGAAATGATCACGGGCTGAACCGATCGAAGGCCCGGCCCGCGTCGATTAGCACACAGGAGGTTTTGCTAAATCGGAAAAGGCAAGTCAACGACTGTTGTCGGTTTTCAATTTCAAGACGAACAGAGGACAGCGCAACTTCACATTTGATTAGCACAAGATAATTGCTAATTATAGCCTCAGTTGTTGATGTGATGTGATAGCCTAGCTACAGCAATTTGATCGTGGATCGTCCTTTTCGTCATTATTAGGAAGCTTCTGCCACGCCTAACATTCTTCACCCTCGCTTTATCAACTTGGTCCCCGCCAATGACCTTTTATGAACAACAAACAACAGAGACGGCAAGGCGACCTTTTGATTCTTGTGCAGGCTGCAGATAAGCAAAGTTCGCTCGCAAACAGACACATTCTTCATCATCTTTTATCAAGGAGAGACGTAGCCCCATCTACTGCTTTCATTGCTATGTTACAAGGCAAAACCCCAAAAAAGAAAAAGGATACACATGTAGCGAGGCCTCAATTCTACATCACTGTCCATTTCAGGACACATCCGATTTGTTCAAGTGGCGCAAGTGACGCACGTGCAACCGGGTCCGCACCGGCAGTTGGCCCGTCCCGTCCCGGCTGCAGCAGTGGCCGACCCACAGCTGCAGGGGTTACAGCCACAGTGGTCCCCGCACGAGCACTTCTTGGGGTCCATTCCTCCGGCTTCTGTGCCCGAGGTGGCGCACCTGCACAATTCATTATCCAATTAGGCATGGATTGCGGGTAGTGGATGCGAGCACGATGTGCACGCGGCGCTCGAAGTATATTCGCATATTCCTCTGAGGTTCTCACCTCATGTATTATTCACATGATCTAATCAGTAAAAGTATCTCTGGTACTCTCGACCTAATTAGACTAGGTGGGACCTCGCGAAAGGTCCATTTGACACAAGAATGCCGCGAGTCTAGTTTACATGTACCAGCGAGAACCTTCAGAGGAAGTATAAAAGCCCAAAAGACTAACAAAAGTCACCTGCACGAGGCGCTGCCGGTGCAAGGGTAAGAGCAGCCACACCTGTCGTTACAGGCGGCAGCGCGAGCGCAAGTTCCGGCGGTCAGGTCGGACATGGCTGGGTTTTTCTCACGGCTGCAGAACTACTTCGTTTCCCCGGAGCGTAGGGATATACAGAGAGCTTCGTGGAAGGTGGCGGGGTGCGAAGAAGCACTACAAAAAAATATGTAATTTGCGACGGAAATTTTCCGTCGGAAATTTGCGACGAAATTTGCAACAGATTATACTTTCCGTCGCAAATTTGCGACAGAATTTTCGACGGATGAAAAATCCGTCGGAAATTTGCGACGGAATTTTTATCCGTCGCAACGGAAAAAAGTTCGTCGCAAATTTCCGACGGAAAAAAAAACCGTCGCAAAATCCGTCGCAAATTTGCGACGGAAAGAAGTTCGTCGCAAATTTGCAACGGAAAATAAATCCATCGCAAAAAGTTCGTCGCAAATTTCCGACGGAAAAAAAAACCGTCGCCAAATCCGTCGCAAATTTGTGACGAAACGAACGTCCGTCGCAAATTTGTAGTTTATCGCCCGTGATATTCCAACCTATCTCTCTCTCTCTCGCTCTCTCTCGCTTTTCTCCTTCTTTCATATGTCTGAAATCAGCAAAATCCGCGCACGCACATATTAATCTCGGTGAAGCTTTTGTACCGGTAAGTATCATAGCTAGCTTCGTGACTATTCATCGTTGAATTGTAATTTCTTTTATTTTATATATGTTTATGTTTGTTTTTTTTTCGTATCTGCATCACCGGTTTAACGACCGGCGACCGGCAACACCTCGCCGGCCTATGGATGAGGCCGAACGGCCACGCCGTTTTGCGACGGAAATAGTTTCCGTCACAAATTTGCGATGAATAAATGAAAATTCCGTCGCAAATTTGCGACGGAATCAAGGATCCGTCGCAAATTTTGCGACGAATTTCCTTGATTCCGTCGCAAATTTGCGACGGAATGAAGGATCCGTCGCAAATTTGCGACGAATTTCCTTGATTCTGTCGCAAATTTGCGACGGAATGACGGATCCGTCGCAAATTTGCGAGGGATGAATTCTGTTTCCATCGCACATTAAAAATTATTAAAAAATGATTCTTAAGTGATTATTCTTTTTGGGTATGTGTCTAATTGAAGGTCTCGTAATCCAAGTGGACGTTGCAATTCTCATCAAATTGACCACTTTCTCCTACCAATATTACAGTCAAATATTTGGGTAAGTCTTCTTTACATGGTAATTTTTTCTATTTTTGCAATTTCATATTAATTATTGCGTGAATAACAAAAATTATAATTTCCAAAATTTTATGGTTTTAATTAAGAACAATAGATATGATATTTTAAATATTTTACCAGAATTTTTTATTTTAATACAGACACAATGCAAAGAGAAAGGGCTCGGATGTATAATAAGAACTTATCTGGACGTCAAGGATTGACAGATGAGTTTCGTACTGGGTTGGAACTATTTTTAGACTTTGCTAATAGTAAATATGAGTTCATGGATGGAAATAAGTTAAGGTGTCTATGTAAAAAGTGCGATAATAGTAAATTTCTTGTGTGTGATCAAGTTAGAGAACACCTTACTAGATTTGGGTTTAGTCCGAACTATTATAATTGGACTTCCTATGGTGAACCATTTATATATGATGAAAGATATGGAAAAAGTGACAAATTTTCAGTTAGGGAAGAATGTGGCTATTATGAGCAATTGAACCCATACGAGAGGATGGTGATTGATGCAGCTAGTTATAATTTTGTCATAGAATCAAATCATGCAAGTACTAGTTTTACTCCTACACGTGAACAAGTGGGTACTAGTCATGCTTCACAATTGGAAGATATAGGAGTAACGGGTTTTGATGAGAATGTCTATAATGAAACTTTTCAATCTAATCGGTTAGGATGTGTTGAAAGCAGCAGATGAACCTTTATGGGCAGGTTGTGAGGACCACACTAAGTTATCGGTGATGTGCCGACTATTAAATATCAAGGCGAGCATAATGTGTCTGCGGATTGCTTCAACTCTTCTGTTGCAGTAATGCGGGAATCATTGCCTCGTGATAACATCATGCCAAGTGATTTTTATGATATAAAAAAGCTAGCGGATAACTTAGGTCTTCCGGTTGTAAGGATTGATGTATATAGTAGGGGTTGTATGATATATTGGAGAGATGATGAAAATGCAGAATCTTGCAAATTCTGTAGCCAACCTAGGTACAAGATTAACAGGAGGCTGGGTTGTAATCAGAAGCGTAGACCATGCAAGCAAATGTTTTATCCGCCCTTAATCCCGCAGTTGCAAAGGCTTTATGCGTCTAAAGCCCATCGCGAACACATGACTTGGCATGCAAATCATGAAACAGAAGAGGGTCTAATGTGTCATCCTTCAGATGCGGAGGCATGGCAACATTTTGATAGAACATACCCTGAGTTTGCGATGGAGCCTCGGAACATCAGGTTAGGTCTCTGTGCCGATGGGTTTGCTCCATTTGGGAAAACAGGAAAAAGTTATTCATGTTGGCCAGTTATCTTAACGCCGTACAATCTTCCACCTGGTATGTGCATGAAGACACCTTATATGTTTTTGACATTGATCGTGACAGGGCCGCAAAATCCGAAAAAGTTGATAGATGTTTATATGCAACCATTGATTGAGGAGTTACAACGGCTATGGGTTGAAGGTGTCCCTACGTATGACGTTTCTACCGATCAAACATTTGTAATGAAGGTCGCCCTTCTTTGGACGATAAATGACTTTTCACTTACGGAATGTTATCTCGGATGGAGTACAATTGGGATCTTAGGATGTCCGATATGTTTGGAGAGGTCAAAGTCATTTAGATTAAAACATGGAAAGAAGCCTAGCTATTTTGACCGTCACAGACAATTTTTACCGCCAAGTCATCCTTTCAGAAGGAATAAGAAAGAGTTCACCAAGAATAGGACTGAAAGAACGCGTCCACCATTGAGGTTGACCGGCGATCAAATTTGGGAGCGTGTGCATGACTTTCCAACTGTTGTTGAGAACCCGCACGGCACGACTTTTACGTACGGAAGTACACATAAGTGGACAAAACGCAGTATATTTTGGGATCTACCATATTGGAAGGCCCATCTTATTCATCATAATCTTGACGTCATGCACATAGAAAAGAATATTTTTGACAATGTCATAAATACTGTGATGGATGTCGCCGGAAAAACAAAAGACAACTTGAACGCAAAAAAAAATATGAGAGATATTTGCGATCGGCCAATACTAGCTGTGGATGCAAGCAGCAGGGGACCAAAACCGAAAGCAGTTTATACATTGGATAAGGAGCAGAGGCGAGTTGTTTGTCAATGGTTGAAATCTGTGCGGTTTCCTGATGGATATGCTTCGAACCTCGGGAGATGTGTTGATTTGAATGAATGCAAGTTCACAGGTTTGAAGAGTCATGATTGTCACATCCTGATGGAAAGATTAATTCCAATAGCTTTGAAGGAAGTTCTACCGAACTTTGTATGGGGCGCCATTACAGAGTTAAGCAATTTCCTCCATGATATTTGCTCAACAGTGTTAAAAGCATCGCACATGGAAAAACTAGAGAGAGATATTCCAATTATTCTTTGCAACTTAGAAATGATATTTCCTCCAGCGTTTTTCGATTCGATGGAGCATCTCTTAGTTCACTTGCCTTATGAGGCCAAAGTTGCAGGTCCCGTCCAATTTCGATGGATATATCCATTTGAGAGGTAATGTTTTTTTTAAAATACAGTTCAAATTAGTTTATCATATAATATGTTCCGATAAGCTTCTTTCTATTTCAACTAGATTCTTATATCATTTGAAGAAAAAAGTGAAGAATAAGGCACGTGTTGAAGCTTCAATTTGTAATGCATATATTGTGGAAGAAGTGACAACATTTGCATCATACTATTTTGAGCCGCACGTTCAGTGCAAGAGGCGGAGAGCAGGCAAAAATGATGAGGGCCCCATTGATCCCAATTGCACAAAGATTCTCTATTTTCAATTATCTCGGGTCGACCAAGCGGCGCATGTCGGTTCATTACTTATCGGGCGAAGAATTTCATGCACCCGTACTTATATTTTACCGAACCGCCCTGTAAGTCGAGCCATACTTCAAGTAAGTGTAAATTTGCAAATATATGTTTTGTGTGTCAAATATTTGCTAATATTTATATGGTTTTTAATATTAGGATTTTCCAAACTTCAATGTTTGGACTACAACCAAATGAGTTTGACCGTTTGTGCGATGAATAATTTGCAGCATGGTTCAAGACATATGTAAGTTGCCTATGGACCAAAATCAAGTTATTAAAATTATATACATCATTTAGTATAATATATATTATTGACTTTGCATGTGTAACCTTAGGTTCACAGTAATTATGATAAAATTGGAGGGCAAGGATTGCTATATCATCTGTCATGGGGTCCACAGTTAAGAGTTCGAAGTTGGCCAGCATATTTCATAAATGGATATAATTTTCATACTCAAGAATATGGAATGGGAAAATCCACAATGAATAGTGGTGTGTCATTCTGGTCATCCAATGGTGATGAGTCGAGAAGATGATTTTTATGGCTTGTTGGATGAAATCATAGAGATAGAGTACCCTGGACCATTAATGATGCGGGTTGTGTTATTTAAGTGCATGTGGTTCGACCCCGTCAAAGGAATGAAGGTGCATACGAAGTTGAATTTGGTTGAAATAAATCACAAGAAAAGGTATATGAAGTATGAACCATTTGTCTTGGCACAACAAGCAATTCAAGTATGTTATGCATCATATCCTAGTTTGAAACGTGACAAAGCTGATTGATGGGCTGTATGTAAAATCAAAGCACGGAGGAAAATCGAGGAACACTGGAAGGATAGAGCCTACCAACAAGAGAAAGTGTGTAACACGGTTGAAATTGAGGAATATAACATACCAACTTTACGAGATCCGTGTGGAGCAATGATAGATGTGGATCCAATTGAAATTTGCGAATTAAATGTACAAGAATGTTCAGAATCTGATTTTCAGACAGATGACGAAGACGAAGACGAAGACGAAGATAAAGATTAAAATTTTTGTCACAAAACACTACAGATGTATAATTATTAATGCTACAAGTGCTATTTTGGTTGTTATCATTATTGTT